GATACCCATGATTTGTTACCCACAGTACTAACGGAAGTAGGTATTATGCAAACGACAGCTATATACTCTTCTCTAATCGCAAAGACTGCAGTAAAAAATATGCAAGTTTAAAGCTTTCTTTTGTTTGCAACTAATTCATTTCTTATATATTACTACAGATTTTGGGTTTGAATTTAACATTCATTTAGCTTCAAATGTTCAAGTTAAATTATAACAGTTCAATTAGCTAGCACAATAATAAAATGGCTATGTAATGTATTTGGATGTTCCTCTCTTCTCTTCCTTTTTCCCTCTTTTATAACCTATTTTCTCTCTCCTTTTAGATCTCTTCTCTTTGTTGGCTCCCTTAAAATTCCATTTCCATGACTTCCTTCATCTTTCATTCTCTTTTATTTCCATCTTCTTTGCATTCTTACCATGCTCCTCCATTCTTTTAAACATCTACTGTTATATAAAATTTTAAAGTGAAAAAATATCATGGGTAAGACTACAGCAAAAGATTCTTGTTAACCTGAAATCTTCTCTGCTCGGTCCCTCCTCCTGTAAATTACTCAGCTGTGTCTCTGTTCTTGTCTCACCACATCCAGTCTTTCTTGCCCTATTTAATACTCTCCCCTTTTTCCTTCATAATATAACTTCCTATTTGCTCAAATCTACTCTCCCCTCTTTCCATTTCCTCTCCTTTGATCTCCGCAATGAACTTTCCTTTCCTCCTCTGCCCCATCAAATTTCTTGCCTGATTTTTCAGCTGCAATGAAACTTTTTCTTCCCTTGATAGAAAGCGGACAACACATCTCTCCTTCCCACATTTCCCACTGCCTTTCCATGATTGCGCAAACAACAAAGGCGGCCCAATATCTAGCTTTTTTTTTTTACTAATGACAGTCAGTTGACAGAGATGACGCAGCAAAGGATCTAGACCGTAAGAGTATTTCTTGTTCCCTAGCTTTTTACAGTATCAGATTCCTTTGTAAGGGGGGGGGGAGGGAAAGCATCTGCATATCAATATTTCCTGTTTATAAAAACAAAACAGATGTAAACTGCTAGTGATAGAGTTCCAGTGTACTCCCATCCTAGGAACAGAGTTTATTTTGGAAAACGCACGCTTGGCTCCTCCTGACAGCAATGGAAGTCATGACCATTGGCAGATACAGTCTAGTTCTTGGAAAAGCACATGTATAAAAGCACATATAGAAAAGAACAGAACTAAAATACCTTTTTCTGAAGCTGCTGAAAACCAGTCAATGTTCTTTATTAACTATTAAGCATTTTTCTTTATGGGAAAAACAAACCAAATGTAAGAAAATATGATTTTTTCTATTGAAATGGGTTCCCGAGTATGCCGTTATCCTGAAGTGCAAGTAAAAACATATCACTTTGTATAAATCCTGTTGGATTATCATTGTCATTGATAAATTTTAAGTTATCTTTTATCTTTAGTATACCTATGTCATCAACCTCATATTAACAGTTGAGAACTGAAAGAGCTTAGCAACAACATAGTGAGGATGAAGATTCACGGAGATAAGGCTAAGAAACACATTCATATTATCATCTCCAGCAAACCTGTAATACTGGTACTAAACCACCAACTATACCTAATGAGTTACGAAGAGACATGTTTCAAGTAGTTTCAATGGGGCGGGTAGAGAGGAGAAGGGGAAGGGCAAAAGGTTGCAGGCTGCTCTCTGAATTGGAACTGTAATTCCAAGAAACATAAAAAACAGAACACTCACAATGCAAATGTATCTTAAGACACCAACCTTCTGTATCAGTTGCACTGCTGATAACATTTGTGAGTTTGGCTTTCAAACTGGTGTATGTGACATTGGTCTTGCCCTCGCTTTCGTATCGACCAGTGCCCAGCGATATTAGACACTGCAGTGGAACATTTGGCCAAAGACACTTGCACTCATGAACTGCCAGTGCAGAAGGATTATTTAGAAGCAGACCTCCATCCTGTAAATTAAAAATAAATACAAATGTTAGTACTATACATAACATATGGTCATAAAAGAAACTGCAACTATAAACTAAACTAGCACAGCGCTAATAGACAAAATCAATTAAATCAAACAAGCATTAATTTCCATCATTTGTGCAACTGTTCTGTTTGGGCTGTGCAGCAGCTGTGTAGCTAGGCTTCCTGGGCTTATGGACACTGTCAGAGCAGCTCCTGGGTCTGTGGTCCGTTCTGCTGTTGTAAGTATTGTATAGAAGAGGTAGGCTGAAATGGCAGCATTCACTGGAGTGTCTGAGGAAATTATGACTTCATCTTCTGAAGACCTTTTAGGTAAGACAGATACGCATATTGACAATTTCTTAAACAATCAAAAAGTCTGCATCTCAAAATGTTTATTACTGGTATTACAAGGATATATTCTGTAACCATCTACCTGCAGATTCTAAAAATAAATAAATAAAAAAATCACAAGAGCTAAGCTTGGCCAAAGCTCCCTTATATGCACAGTCATTACATAGGATGCTATAGCCTGGATTTAAGACTTGGAAAATCACAGAATCACTTAGGTTGGAAGGGACCTATTGAGCTCACCTGGTCCAACCCCCCTGCTCAAGCAGGGTCAGCTACAGTATGTTGTCCAAGGCCATGTCCAGTCAGGTTTTGAGTATCTCCACAAATAGAGGCTCCAAAACCTCTCTGGGTAACCTGCTCCAGTGTTTGACCACCCTGACAGTAACAAGTTTTCTTGTGTCCACGTGGAATTTCATGTGTTTTCATTTGTGCCATTGTCTTTTGTCCTGTCAGCGGGCACTACTGGGAAGAGTACGGCTGCCTCTTCTTCATTCCCTCCCATCCTTTATTCGTACACATTGGTAAGATTCCCCCTGAGCCTTCTCTTCTCTGGGCTGAACAGTCCTAGCTCTCTCAGTCTCTCCTCATACGAGAAGTGCTCCAGTCCCTTAATGACCTTTGAGGCCCTGTGCTGGACTCGCTTCAGTATGCTCCTGTCTCTTGTACTGGGGAACTGGACACAGCACTCCAGATGCAGCCTCAGCAGTGCAGAGAGGAAGGATCATCTCCCTTCACCTGCTGGCAGCACTGTTCTTAATGCAGCCCGGATGCTGTTGGCCTTTTTTGCCACAAGGGTGCATTGCTGGCTCATGTTCAGCTTGTTGTCCACCAGAACCCCAAGGTCCTTCTCTGTCAAGCTGCTTTACAACCGGTCAGTACCCAGCGTGGGTTGGTGCATAGGGTCATTCCTCCCCAGATGCAGGACTCTGCCTTTCCCCCTGTTGAACTTCATGAGAATTCTCCAGCCTGTTGAGGTCCCTCTGAGTGATGGCCCAACCATCTGGTATACCAGCCATTCCCCCCAGGTTTGTACCATCTGCGAACCTCCTGCAGGTGCACTCTGTCCCATCATCCACATCATTAATGAAGATGTTAAATAGTATTGGCCCCAGTACTGACTCCTGGGGTACACCGCTAGCGACTTGCTTCCAACTGGACTTTGTGACACTGATCCCAACCCTCTGGGCCTGGTCATTCAGCTAGTTTGCAATCCACCTTACTGTCTACTTATCTAACCTACACTTTGTCAGCTTGTCTATGATGTTATGGGAGATAAATGTCAAAGGCTTTCCTAAAATTGAGGTAAACAACATCCACTGCTTTCCACTTGTCCACCAAGCTAGTCACCTCATTGCAAAAGGCTACCAGGCTGGTCAGTCATGAGTTCCCCTTTGTAAGTCCATGCTGACTACTCATGATCACCTTCTTGTCCTTCATGACTTTGAAAATCCTTTCCAGGAGGATTTCCACCATCACCTCCCAATGGATTGGGCTGAGGCGAATTAGCCTGTGGTTCCCTAGAGCTTTCTTCTTGCTTTTCCTGCAGATATGAATGATATCTGCTCTCCCAACCTCTCCCAATCACCATGATCATTTAAAGATAATCGAGTCATCTCGCAGTGGCATCAGCCAGCTCCATCAGCACTCGTGAGTGCAATCCATCAGGCCCTATGAATTTATGTATGTCCAGTTTGTTTAACTGCTCCCTAATCTGGTTCTCCTCCACCACGTGTAAGTCCTCCTTGCACCAGACCTTCCCTCTAGCTTCAGGGGCCTGGGATTCCTGAAAGCCGTTTTTACTGGTAAAGACTGAGACAAAGGCAGCATTAAGCATCTTGCCCTTTTCCATGTCATTTGTCATCAGCTCCCCTGCCCCATCCAGTAGCGGGCCCACCTTTTCCCTAGTCTTCCTTTTGCTGTTTATGTACTTGTAGAATCCTTTCTTGTCACCCTTCACATTGCTCTCCAGATTCAACTCCAGGCTGGCTTTTGCTTTCCCCTCTCTGCAAGACTGGACAGGAGCTCTATACTCCTCCTGGGTCACCTGCCCCTGCTTCCACCTTTTGTACGCTTCCTTTTTATGTCTGAGTTCAGTTAGGACCTCCTTGCTCATCCATGCCTGCCACCTTTGCTTGATTTCCTACTTGTTGGGATGGTCCTTTCTTGAGCTTGGAGGAAATTGTCACTGAGTATCAGCCAGCTCTCCTGGACCCCTCCTCTCTTCAAGGCCATAGCCCATGGGATTCTTCCAAGAAGAGCTCTGAAGAGAACGAAGTCTGCTCTCCTGAAATCTAGGGCTGTAGTCCTGCTCCCTTCTCTTAGGATCTTGAACTCCATCATCTCATGGTCGCTGTAGCCGAGGCTTTCTTTAACTTTCATGTCCCTGACCAGTTCTTCATTCTTCATAAGCATCAGGTCCAGCAAAGCACCTTTCCTTGTTGGCTCCTCCATCAACTGTGCCAGGAAGTTGTCATCAATGCACTTGAGAAATCTTCTAGGTTGCTTGAGCTCTTCTGTATCGTCCTTTCATCAGGTATCAGGATGATTCAAGTGCCCCCTGAGGACCAGGCCCTGGGAGCGTGAGGCTTTAGTTGTCTGAAGATCAGAATTCAGCCCAAGACTAATAGGAACAAAGGCTCCTCTTATGAGTCTGGAAGTGAGGAGAGACATCTTTTGCTAGCAACATGTCAAAGGCATAGGTGATGAGGCTGGGATAAAATACTCAGACAAGGAGATTTTGATCCAGCAAATCTCAAAAAGTACGTTCAACACTTCTTGGAAGTAAAGTGATCTTCACTCCAACTAAGAAATAGATCACTTTGAACTTTGAATTCAATAGGACTTTCTATATTGGGAAAGCCTTAACAAAGCAGTTTTAAAGGCAAAACTTAAGCTGAAAACACTATTAATAGCAGAGACGAAGATCTTTATAGCCATTCAAAATCTATACAAAGAAAGCATGTAAAATATAAAAGAAACAGAATATTGACTACAATAAGCATTATGCAAAAGCTCCCTATATCCTAAAGCTCCCTGAACTCCCTATATCCTATACCTGACCATCACATTACAAGAACAGTAAAAAAAAAAAAGCAAATCTACTCAGGAATGGCTTAGAATAAAAAAAGTTTTGGAGTTGATAAACATTTTACAGAAACGCCTTTTAACTACAGCTGTGCTAGATAAATAAGTAAAAACAGGATTACTGAGCTGAGTTTTCTGAGGTTTTTTTCTTAATCAAGCTTTCATTTCAACCTACAAAAAGCTCTTTGAACTCCTTCTGGATACTGTCCGCTTTGCTCAAAACAGTGTAAAATGAATGGTCTCTTCAGTGCCTATTATCCTTTGCTTATGTTTAAATTAGTTTCTACACAGAAAACTAAATACAAGGATGTTTTTGTCCTTGATATAATTCCCCATGAATCTTAATCTAAAATCTTCGTGGTGCTTACTTTTTTCTTTAAATCTTAGATTAAAAATGTGCTTACCAAATAATTTCCACTGATCTTGTCAACATAATTTAATTAAACATGATTGCTTTACCATGGAAAAAATTAGTGTTATCAAAAGTTAGGGGGTATATAATACTAGACTACTACAATATTTTTGTAATATTGACAAGTAAAAGATCAAAGGAAGGTAAAGTACAAACACCTACACATACCAAATGTGTATTGTGATGGTAACTAACAGCTTTGTGCAACAATTTCCATATTTAAACATTCTCCAATTTAGGTTTATTGAAATGACAGTAAATATCCATTCCTAATAATTTTCAATTTAGATACCTTTAACATAACTTCTAGCATTTATATAGATACATGTCATTTTTGGAAAGTTAGAAGTAGGACTCAATAAGGAAGGCAACTCATTTTTTTTCTTCCCCTCCACACAGACTATGGTTGATAACGACCACATCCCGATCAATATTGTACTTCACATCAGCTTACTCTGTTAAACAAAGATGTTCATCATATTGCTCTTTTGCTTACGGTGATCAACTACTGAAGCAGTAAATAACTTTATTAGTTAAATCAGACTATTAAGGCCTCAATGAAGGAAATACTGCAATAATTTATTTAATTCTCCAGCTCCAGAAACCTTAGAGCTAATTCCGTCCAAGGCGGGAATTCTTGTGGAAAAATATTTCACAAGTTTTAAAATTAGTTGCAATGATTTCACATGTATGTGAGTTCTAAGAAACTGTAAACAACGAAGAATTTTCCAGTTCTAAGATTAAAAAAATAGAAACTAACCTTTCTGATTCTGAACAATTCCTCTATCTTCACAAAACTGGACACAAAGTCCTTCCCAAGAAATATATTAAACTAGCAATACAGAAATACGAAAGCCAGATCTGAATTCTTAAAAAAGTAATTTTAAGAAATCATGACATGTCCTTCTTCATGCTTGTCCTTGAGACACTGGAATACAATTCCAAGTGATCGACTCTGCAGTTTGTACATAAGATATACTGAGATCACAAGAACCTTCACTGATCCTTGCTCTGAATTCCTATGTATTTAGTCTGTCAATTTGTTTTGGAGAACTGCTAAATTTGGTATCTTAATTTTTTTTTCTGGTTCTGTTGAAGTTATTCTATAGTTATATTATAAAAACTAATCTAAATTATTTATAACTTACCAATTAAAATATTTTTATTGTAAGCACTCAGCTTTTAAAAGATGTTTATAAAAATACATGAACCAAAACGCAATATAACCAAAAGACTGAATGACTGCTAGTAGTATGGAATGTCTTGGTGACTAACACAATAGCTTCCTCTTCCATATTAGTTTCTAAGAGCTTTATTGACACTTTTAACATTTCATGCAGTTAAATAACTGGAAGTAAATGAGGCCAATTTATCTGATCTATGGGTAGAGAGATGCCTGGTGGCCAAATCTGAATTCTTGTTTGTCTCTTTTTTCACAAGGAAGTCATGCATTTTATGAGTCCATTCAATTTCAAATGTTCTCTTTTCTTGGTACAATCTCTTGTCTTTGATCCACCTATCTCTCAATCTTAAATTTAAAATTTCAGTTAGTATGATGGTAGAATTAGGATCTTCCCAGCATGCTTCTGCAGGAGGGAAGAATGACAAACCAAGAATAGTAATCCAGAAGCAAAAGTTTAACCCAAACAATTAAATTTATTGATTCAGGCTGATGGACTGAAACACATTCATGGCTGGGGAACAAACAAAAGCAAACACTAGTAAAATACTTTTCAGAAATACAGCAAAGTGGAAGTTGTGATGGGCTAGGGGGAAAAAATATGACAATCGCTGAAAAGATTAGGGAAACTAGGTATACTAGTGACAAGCTGCACTGCATACTCTATGGAATGACTGTGGGGAAGCTTCAGGTGTCTAACTTTCCATGAATAAAATTGTATTTACACAATAATGCATTTTAGAATGATTGTAAGTATAGCGATCAGCAAATGCCAACGTTAGCAAGATGTGCAAACTGCACTGACAGAATGCAGCCTTCAAAGTGTATGAATATTTTGCATTCTTTGTGCCCATTATCTATTTTATGGAATATATTTTCAGAGCATAATTTATAATTGAAAAGCATGTATTTCATGGACCTATGCTAGCATAGCACAATTCCGATCTCCTAAACCCTTCATATAAACAAAAGAATGCAAACAAAAAAGGATCTTTATACCGTATACAACAGTGTAAAAGTCTTGTTGATATAAAGTGATATTTTAAAGTATACTATAACTTTCAGGTGCAATTCTAATTCTACAAAGCAATGCTGACTTTATGCGCGGCCCTAAACCTTTTCAGTTCCTAATAAATTTATCAGTTCCTTTTTGACAGACTGGAATGTCTCACACGTCCCTCCTTTCATCTATATTATTAGATATATTGTTATGGTATGGTACTGTCTGTGCGCACACAGAAAAACAGAGACAATATGAACAGTATATTAGATAAACTACTAGATTATCAATATACACTTGGGCTAAAAGCAAAACCAGTAGGTCAAGTGAAGTGATTATCCCCTTTTATTCAGTACTCATGAGGTCAAACTGGGAATACTGTGTACAGCTTTAGCCACCCAGTTACAAGGCACTGAAAAACTGGAATACGTACATTAAAGAACCACTAAGATGGTTTGGGGGCTGAAGCACATAACATATGAGAAAAGATGCAGGGAACTGGTTTTGCTTAACCCAGAAAAAGAGAAAGCCAAGGAGGAATCTAATCATAGTCTTCCACTACCTAAAGTGGGAGAAGACACAGCCAGAGTCTTTCAAAAAGTGCAGAATAAGAGCCAGAGAAACTCTGGAATCTCCATCCTTGGATATTTTCAAAACTCAACTGGGCAAAGCCTTGAGCAACCTGACCTAACTTTGAGGTTTTTCCTGCTCTGAACAGGAGGCTGGACCAGATGACCCCCTGAGGCCCTGTCCTCCTCCAATTCTCCTAAGGTTCTACTCTATTTAAAGAAATACTATATGAATCACAGATGCATGTTATTTTAGCTGTAAAATGAAATTACTTTTTAAAAGCCATTCTTATTAGAATTTGAACTTTGTCAGTCCAGTCTAAGTCTTGTGAAAGCATTTTCCATATGCAACTCATACCTTGGAATCTGTAACTGAAAGGGTAACTTACAGGAAATCTTCGAATGACTAAACTGCTGACCAACATCCACAAAGATGTGCAATTGTCCTGAGTTCTGACTCAGGACTCAGTGTTGGGCAAAGAGCCAGAATAGATCCCTCATTCTCTCTGTTCTCCCATTCTTAGATTGTCTGGCCTACATTTCACCATCTCTTCTCATTTAGCTAGTTCTCAATCCGACTGCAAACTCTCTTTTTCACTTCCCAGACATACATGAGTCACCCCTTCCCTTTTGCGCCCTTCGGTGCTGCTACGGTCAGTGCACTGGCAAGTACTAGATGTTTCTTCATATGCTGAACTTCACAAAACCACTCCACACTTGAGTCAACTTAATTTGCTGGCAGCATACCAAACACAAAGTGCCACAGTAGGAAAGTTAATGCAAGTAAGTGCTGAAAAAGGGTGTATAACCTTCCTAATGTCATCATGCAGGTAAACAGTAGGAAAGAAGGCTTTTTTAAAATTTCTAATAAAAATAATGGAAGAAATCAAATAAATTAATCTTAAAATGGAGCTTAATACATATAAAACCAAGCTTGTTAGTGATAGCAAACCAGTGAACTCAGGGACTGGGACGTTACTTTCAGTCTTTTGCCAAAGGCTTTCCAAGTGGTAAACATTCAATTGTTATGTTTTATTTAATGTTTTATCAGCTAATTCCCAAGTGAACTCAATGAAATTTTTCTTCATACAGATTTTTCCAAAAAATTCCCCATGCAATTATAACCATATTTTTAGGGCTTGTTGGTCATTAGCCAGAAGTCTAAAGCCGTAGCTAATATTTTCTGTAAGTTTTGTGGTAGTTGCAAAATACTCAGGGAAGGCTCCCTCATGATTTGCAATCAGATCATAAGTTATTTAAAGCAGGAAAAATGCACCTTTTGTAAGCACACGTTCCAATGAAAACTCTCTGGTGAAGATACCCTGCTCGCCCAGTTCTAGGGATAAAGAAAGGCCTGGTTAAACATTATGAAACAGATGGGGGCAAATTCTACAATCAGAAGGAAAATACGTCAGGAAGTCTCAAAGAAAGTGCTCCAGACCAGTTGGGAGCCTGGTAGCACAGGACCTTCTGAGACTCACATATTTAAGTCAATACTTCAGAAACAGTTATTTAAAATTAAGATATTAAAATAAAAAAATCAGTTTGGACCATACTTTACCATGGGCAGTTGTTTCTAACAAGTTCAGAATACTCTGTACATTCATAGGCTATCGCTAGATTTCCTAGTTTTGTCAGACTCAAGTTGCGCCCTATAATTGTTCTGCGTAACATCCTGTGTCCTGCACAGTTTCACTTAAATGATGCTAAACTTTGTGAAGAAAATAATCTAGCACTGGATGAAGGATATATTACTTAAGAAAGCCAAGTCTGATATTTGGAAGCTGAGTTTGTTGGCTCCATAGTAACCACTTCACCTCACTGCCTGTGCAGACATGCTTTGCATTTTAGTTCACTTTTACAGACTTCCTCTGTTGTTTACTTTCATTGTCTTTGTGAAAAAGTGGAGACAGAATTAGTACAAAACCATCACAGGCTAGGACAAGACAGGCTAAGATTCTGAATGGACTTTTGAAAAGTACTTTTTAAATTCTATGTTTAAAGTCAACATAAATATAATAAATATGCAGATTAAGGACAAGGCTTATTGCTTCCAATGAGGAGTTTGAAGAGTTGCTGCACTATAACAAGGGGTTACTTTTTAGAAAAAATAACTACTCTAAAAACATTTACTCTAGTTTCCATTAAGTAAAATGGGTACACCTTGCCAAATCATTCTGTAAAATCAGCTCAATACATTTACATAAGTAGCAGCAAATGCCCTGATAGTAGAAGACAGGAATGAGAAACAGGAGAGTTATTTTACTACCTGTAAGATCTACTCATACAGATAACTTCAAGATTCACATCCTAACCTAGTCCTCTCATTGCACTGGGCACCCAGTGCCATTATGAGAATGTCAGTATATTCACGTATAAAGCTTTAGGGCTTGCTCAAACATCACTGGGCTACCAAATTACAGTTTTTAATATAAGCTTTGTGAAAAAGGAATCTATACATTCAGATTTAACTGTGAAATAAACTAGCCCCTCTAGTGTTCAGCTCAGATATGCTCTCAATACAAAGGTTACATGATCTCCCTGTTCTGTTAAAGATATACAAAAATGTTTGAAATATTACATTAATTATGGGTCTCCTCTTGCGAGTAACCAGTCAGTCTGGTCACAGTACTACTGAGGACGAAACTGTTGAAGAGGAGCTCCCAGCAAGTACAGGAAATCTTTATGTCCCTGCACAAACTATTTTGATCCCATATAATATATAATGTTTTAGAAACATGAAACAGTGCAGAAGTAGAATTGTTTCCTCTTTATCTTGGTGACAAGCAATGGATGGCAGTGCCAATATTTCTAACAAGTCTCTGTCTAAAACGTACAGTGCACTAGAACAATTTGTTTTAGCCTCATTCTAATGGTGTGTCTGATCCACTTTGCTGCATGAGAGATGAGTGAGAAAAGATTTTTTAATAAATTAGGTAATTTTCTATAAAGCATACAATGACCTACAGCTACCTCTTTATACAAATATTTCATACAATTTATTTAGAAATATTCACCCTTGCTTCATAATCATGCTAACAGGGATGCTATTGGGTCAACTACATATAATTTATGATGTATTCTGCACTATCCTGATTTCCAACAGAGGCCTTAATTGGTGACAGATATTAATGCAATCCTCCTATACACCAAATTTCTAACAATTTTGGAATGAACTGATTCCATTACCTAAGGAGAGGGAGAGGCGCTCCTTTAAATTCCTGAAATAAATGTCTTGTGCTCATTACTTTCTAAGGCTATCTCAAAATTATGACTTCTCTTCAGACACTAGAAAAACACTCACTCTAGAACTGACAACTGCTCAAGTGTGCACTGAAAAGGGGATTCCCCTTGAACTGGCTAATGGCAAAATTCTTTAGAAAAATGTACAGAAAATGAAAATTAAATGCATTTGTATTTATGTTATTGAATAACACTAATATTAAAATTTCCATTACTGCTGTCTTTGACAGTTTAAAAAAAATCAGAAGGTACATTAGCTACGTTTGTACTTCTACTACACCAGCTGCAAAAAAGAGAACATTTTATACCGAGATCACATTACGTAAAAAAAAAAATCTAATAAAGTTCGAAAGTTTACTGAAAAGTTTCCTTTTCAGTACAACTGTTCTCCCATACAGTATTTATATTTTTTCCTAAAAATTAGCAACGCCGTAATACACTTTGCATACACACAAATGTTATGCTAAATGCTACTGAGAGCTATCAATACTATTGCTATTATAAGCTAACCATTTAGTAATATATTTTACACTGTTTTACCCTACATTAGCCATGTTTATTCTTGACATTTCTTTAGAATGAATGGTTGGCTGAAGTAGACTGCTAGGTGATTATCTTAAAGTATTAACTCATCCCAGCGAGTCATTAATTCACAAAAACTGACCAGCTGCTCTGAAGACATTACTGAATTCATGGTTTTATGTCAGATACAGAAAATGTACTGATGAAGATTTGCTAAATATTAGCAGACATCATGAAAGAAAGAATTACTGGGCAATAAAATATACTGTCATTAAAAGCACAAGCTGTGCACCGCAGATTTAATTACATGAATTCTGCAATGAACAACAGGACACATCACCACAATAGTATTTTAACTGCGGTTCCCAAATGATGAATTGCCTGTAACATTACAAGCGAGGATCGTAGCGTGCAACCTAAGAGAAAAAGCTGACCTGCGGTTGAATCTATACTGGCTCCAAAAATAGGCCCGAGCTCGGGTTCTCCATACGATGTTTGTGAAGCACAGGCAAGGTTCAAGAGTACACCAAAAAAAACCCCAAACAAAAAACAACCAAAAAAACCCTACGGATCTGAACAAAATCCTTCTGGATTCAGATGACACCAGGGGGCTCAAATCTAGAAGGTTTGTCCTTTCTAACAACATTTAACTTACGAAGCATAGAAAAACTCTATTTGCTACGACGGGATGCTTCAGACTAAGGAGAAAGCTCTAGTAGTTATACAAAAGAATCACATTACTATAAAACCTCCACAAGTGAGCAAGAAATCCCAGATCCAGAGACATCCTAATCCTTGTGAAAGCTGACCATGTTAGATTTTCAGTATTTCAAAATTCTTTAAACTTCATTTCCCAACCTAACAATGTAAATATTCTTAACATTCAATACAGTTTTACATCAATAACCTGACTGTTATTAATATTACTTATTGACATTAGTTTTGCTAACTAATTGGTCTATGTTTTTAGCTGTCAGTTTACTAAGGAATAGTAAAATGACAGGAAATTCAAAATGCTTTGAGAAAAATATGGAAGAGTAGGAAGACTAGTAGTGATCCATCGGGAATCCAGGTGACTCATATTATTGGATATATAAACGCTACTCAAAGCCTGCTGGTCATTCACCTGTTTAAAACTGTACAATAATCAGAATGTTGTAAGCTAACTCTACAGCCAACTTCTAAAACTAAATATATTATGCACTCCACAAATTTCTTTTTATCTTTCATATTGTAATTTCAAACTGAAATTGGATTTCCAATAAACCCCCTTTTTATAAAATTATGTACGCTATTTAAATTTCTTAATACAATTTTATTCTTTATTTGTTGACTCAAACATTAGATTTCATTTCATTGCAACTGAAACAAAGCGGGTTCATAACTAAAGGATTTGATCTTAAAATGGATAAAATTTAAGAAAGGGAACTAATTATTGGAGATAAATGATGTGAAGGGTTCAGGATTTGGATATGAACTACCTAGTATTTGTATCCACAGTGGGGGGGTGGGGGAAGGGGGGAAAAGAACCGAAGGAAGAGTTCTGCATTTTCATGCATCCTCTAAATTAAGAAGTACGTGTCTAGATGGCAAAATACAAGATGGGTTTATCAAAGGCAGGTAGAAATTGAAACAGAAATTTTTAGATTAAGAAAATCTGGATTTATAAAGCACTTTACACATCAGACCACTGGAAGTGATGAAAGAGACCACAGTGGAGAAAGAACTAGCTGATTGGATGGGGACAACAGTCTATGCTGAACTCTTTCGCTAGGACCGTTTTCCATCAGTTACTCAATGGCTGGTTTGGGGCTCATTCTCTGTATTATTTTCTCAAAAGCATGCAACTGCTAATGGAATCTGTTACTCTAAAGTTAGAGTCTTTGCAAATACAAAAGCCTTAGTGTAAATACAGAACAACCCTAATGTCTAAGAAAACCCAAAGGAGACAACATACAGCCAAGCAAAGCTATGCTCTTCATAACTAAGGTGGAATCAGACCAACCATGAGAAAGACCTGAGTAGAGCACTACCACAGAATGATTTAGCTACCTATATATGCAGTAGCTGTTGAAAGGCAACTGTAATTCTAAGTTGTACCTTCCTCTGATGACACAGTTAAGACATCGTCTAGAATACAGTGTTCCAGCCCGATCAAATTAACTCCTCTGAATTTTGCTTCTAATTTAGAAATGCTAATTTTGAATCTGGTCTATCATTCAACTTTGTACAATATGTCTTGGGTCATGCCAAAACATGCTGAATAGTCCAGTTTCAAAAAAGATTACTCAAACTGCAGCAGGTGCAATGAAGGGTCATTAGGATGATCAAGAGAACACAGAGCCTATTTTGTAAGATTGAGACAGACTGGTATATTTAGACTAACAAAATAAAAAAGGGTATGAGTGCTTTCTGTATACACATCAGAAGGGTAAATACTACAAGAAGAAAAGTTAGTTAAACTAGAGAACGTTACTGGCACAAGGACAATTTGTATCCATTAGCTGCGAATAGACTTAAAGAGTGAAAATCAGAAATTTTCTAGTGATCAGAAAAATGAAGAAATATCTT